GTTATCATCACGGATATATTTGAATATTGACTAAGTACATTAGAAATTCAGACCATTCTTCAGATTTCCGGTGAGTTTCATGTTTGTCCTGTACTGGGGAATCAGAAGCCTGGGGCAGAAAAGGAGTGGAGTCAACATTAGACTACCTGGGACTTGTTCTATTCCCTGCTTGATGAAGAGATGAGTGAGTGTGAGAGTGAATGTTCCTTACTGTTGCAGGAAGTCTGCTCTAATTGTGTTTGTGAGGACAACAGACTTCTCCTCTAACTCCAACCCAATGAAGGTGCTACCTATTACTTACACACACACATACTCATACAACTTCATCCTTCCCTCATTCTTTTGGATAGCATTGGTGCAGTGATTATGGTAGTTTGAAAGAAGACAATGCTCTAGGCTTGTATTGAGCCTCACAGGTTATCCCCTGCCTCTTGAAGACAGAAATTCTCTTCCCCCACCTGCTGGGTGTGTTGGCAGCTGACAGCTCTTAGCTGAGTTTCACCCACCAGATCTCCAACCTGGAGCTGACCCTCTGCTGAAGTGAGCCCTCTTGCCCATGAGCATGCTCCTTACCTATGTACAGCCCTCATCAATGATCAGTGCTGGGGTGTGGGTATAAAGGCCTAGCCTCATTCTCTAAGTCAGGACAACTTTATAAGGACATCTCAGCCCCATCCTTAGTGTGAAGCTGACAAAATCCAATTTTTCCTTCTGTCCAATTCCACTTTCATTCCCCCACAGGTCCCCTCTATAGAGCACCCCTCACAAAGGATTTAGTCTCATATTCTTTTTCCTGGGAAACACGACCTATAAGACAGCATGCTGATTATTTTTAAAATTCTTCATTCACCACAGCTTGAATTATGTCAAACATGTTCTAGATTTTCTTCCTTCAACCTAAGCTAACTCTATGTTACCATATTAAGACCAGTGGGGTCTAATGTAGGAATTGAATCCTGCTATTAAGACTTGGTATGATTATTTGGACAGTTAAACACTAAGGTCTCAATTCCACACAACTTTTTCTAACCCATAGAAGCAGCTTATCCCCCTCACCCTTCCCACACTCCTGATGATTCAGATTTTTCCTTGTTCACCCACAATAACAAGGACCTAATGGTTCCAGAATGGGAAGAAAAATGTGACCTATCTTAGAAATGATTTGAATAAGGGTAAATTTGTTTCAAATGCTCAGGGATAACATAATTCACTTGTTTCTTTGTTTATAGACTACGTTTGCTCCAAAGGTTCAAAACTCAAATGATGTTGTTTAACTACCCCCCTTTTCTATTCCCCAGGTCTCTCCATGTTAAAGGTTCTGCAGTTAGGAGCCATGGGTCAGATTCATGCCACTTCCTGATTTATTTTTCTTTGCTTAGAAAACAAGATATTTTTAGAAAGGTGAAATAAATAGTGCTGGTTCTAAATTCAATTGTGAAATAAAGTTTGTCCATGATGAGCCTCTTCCTTTTTTGTGTTGGACTTTCCATTGTGGCTTCTCCTCCCCCAGCTCTGGGGACCTCCTCAACCCATTGCCAGTGTCTTGCGTGCTCCTCTCCACAGGAAACTCTTCTTCTTTATCCAGATTTCTCTGTTCTGCTGCTCCCTGACCATGGCCCGGTCTAGTGGCGTCTATGTTTCCCTGTGATAGAAAGTTCTCTGTTCTACAGTTCATCACCCAAGGCCAAGTTTACTCTGCCCTTAGGAGGCACCATTGCCTGCACATCCCCAATTGGTTAATAAATGTTTAAATGGATAGATGAGAATATGAATCAGTGAATGCTTTCCCATAACACACCATTCAACACCCAGTCCTACCTACCATCCACCCAAGGGCATGTGTATTAACCAAGGTCTGATGAAGACAACCTTCCTTTGTAGCATGACCCAACTAGGCACATTGGGAGAGGAATCTTCTGACAAATGGGTGCTAATTATATTAACCATGTGTTTCTTGATGTTTTCACATTTGGGGCCTTGCTGACCCTGGAGAGACCCGTCCCTTCCTAGAGTTAACAAGTTATTTGTTAGCACATCTTTTATATGCAAACCAACTAATCTAGAGTCCTTACCTTGACCACCTCCCTGTAGGACTCTCAGGGCTTTCACACCTGGGGAGCTCACTATCTACCTGCCCTAACCACCCATGAATGGGTTTCAGGCAACTAAGGACAGCTCCTGTGTCTGAGAGCTTGGGGAAGCTATTCAAACCTGCCAGTCCTCAGCCTCTTACCCTTCCCTGCCCACTGCTTTCCGTGGAAACCACAAGGAGCTTTTGCCTGTGTTTCCCCCTTGCTCCTTCTACCTCCTGACCCACCCTGGTGCTTCTCATGTCCATTATATAACATGCTCCTTCCTTGGGAACTGTGGATAACAAGTGACCTTTTCAGTGGTAATTGTTTCCTGATCTGCAGGCCTCATTATACCTGAGTAAAAGGTTCATTTTTAAAACAGTTATTTCGAATACTCTTCCGGTCCAGCTGTGTTCCCCAATACTGGAAGCGTTCAGTCTCCACTGTAACTGAATGGAGATAATTCTCTACTACGTTATAGAGATTTCTACTTTGGGTAGCAGGTTTGACCTAACCATATAGAGTAGCCTCTTTTTCATAGTTTTACTTTCTGCAGCAGTCATGGTCAGAAAATATCGAATGGGAATTTCCAGAAATAACCAATAAGCTTGAAATAACTTGCACTGTAGCATATTGTTAGAGTTGTTCTATTTTATAATTAGCTATTGTATCATAAGTATATACATATAGGAAGAAATGTAGCATATTTAGATTTCAGTACCATCCGTGGTTTCAGGCATCCACTGGAGGTCATGGAAAGCAAAACAGTGAACATTTATTAAGCACTTACTATCTGCCAAGTGCTATACTAAAAATATTAAATGCATCACCTTATTTACTCTCCACCTCTGCCCTCCACAACAAAAAGCCATTCTGCCAACAAGAAAATTTGAGTCTCAGAGAGGCTGTGTAATAAGCCAAAAGCCACACAGCTAAAAATACCACAGGTAAAACTTAAAACTTGTTCTCTCCTTTTAAACACCCTGCCCATGAGCTAATCCATTTAAGAAAAATCTAGGAGGAGGCCTCTCCTTTTCCATAAGGTCTGACAATTGGAGAAATGACAAACAGGAGAGGCAATAAAGTTTAATTTTTTTAATTCATTCAGTTATTAAAAGATTAATAACCAAACTTTATATGTGTCATCACCTTGAGCTCTCATAAAATCTGATGAATTATTGTATTATATTTGAACTGAAGTTCCCAAAGTCACAGAAGATGTGAAATTCAAACACAAACTTCCCTGTCATTGCTCTGAGACCTGCCCCACTTGCATGCCTTCTTTCTATCCTAGACTTCCAAATCTTTTTGCAAGTTTTATTGCATAACATCACTACTTCCTTCATACTTTAAAGCAAAGGTGCGGCAGCCTTGATAGTGAAAGTGAAAGTCAACAAGTGATTCCATGATCAAAAGTAGCTGAGATATGTCCAGATTTTCCAAGAACAATGCACCCTGGGGTGAATTAATATAGTCTTTGGAAGAAGTTGCCCAGTGACGGGGCTAGAAATTGTAGAAGTTTATAACACTATTTCAGATCCTTAGTGAATGGATGAGAACCTACAGAAATCCCTTCTATTTAAAGAAGTTCCATTCATTGGACACAATTCCCCGGTTCTTCTCCAAAGAACTGTACTGGTAATGGAGATAGGAGAAAACAACTGGCAGTTTTGGACAACTACAAGCTGAGAAGGAATCACTCAATTAAATACTTTAAACATGCAAATACACATATGCAATAAAATAATATATAATAAAATCGCTGTTGAATGCCATCAAGTAGCAAAACAGACTGTAGAGATGTTAAAAATCTATATGGCCAGGGTTGACCACAGGCATGGGGGCCTTTCTAGCAAAATAATTGAAAACGTAACTGACTATCAAGCAAAACATAATTCATGGGTCCTCCTGAAGTTTGGGGTCTGAGAAATTGAAGCAAGAAAGAGGAAAAGTTGGAAAGAAGGAGGAGAGAAAAACAATTTATTGAATCAAATAATTTGGAAATGTTAAAAAAAAATGATAAAACAATTGGCTTATGAGTACCAGACAAAAGGAGGCTGGATTAGAGGGCTTAGGAGCTGCTTGAGCAAGTCACTGAAAGTGTCTTTTGGGGATAGGACTGGGCAGCCATGAGGAATTTCCATGGAGATGGTAAGAAGAAACAGCTTGCCTGGCGGAGGACCTGGGCTGGGGGATCAGTCAAGACTCTGGCTCACAGGATGAAGGCCGCCTTCTGGGATTTGCCTATCCTAGGACTGTTTTCCAGCTTCCAGCAAGAGGCTGTTGGGGCCATTTCCTGCAGCCCTGGGATGGACAGATGACCCCTCAGAGCCCTTGGCTCTCATGTGGCTGAGGCATGCCATCCCCGGCTGCACTCACAGGCCACGGCCAGCTGCTGGCTCCCCACCCAGGGGCTGCGGAGTTTTCCCCACAGAAAGGAACAACCAAGCCTTTCACTCCCGGGTCCCTCACTTGGACGGGGCTGTAGGTGTACCTCTGCGGTTTTTCAGTTCTTTAGCACTTAGGCACTTTTCTGCAGAGCCAAGGGCCTTCTGGGAACAGTGGAGCATCTGTGTGTTGACAGTAACGACCTGTGGGCCAGAGACACTCAGCCAAACTCTCCCTCCGCTCCAGGAGCTGGACTGTACCCCTCACCTGCAGTGAGCCCCAGCCTGCCCAGCGCCAAGTGCCCCCCTTCTCTCCCTCATTGACTTCCTAGCTCCTCTGCCACGTTTGTACCAGTTCTCACCAGGATGGTCTCGACCCACCACCCATCCCACACCCAGAGTGAACAGTCACACGCATGAGGCTTATGGCCCGCTGCTAAACTGTGAGCGCTGAAGGGTGAGGGACACACGGCTCGGCTGGGCAGCTGGGTGTTTACAAAAGGTTCGGCCTGCAAAGAGATGCCAGTCTTCTCCTATAACATCATTGCCTTTGTTTATTAGACGGGTTGTTGATTTACATGGGGACTTGGGGATGCTAAACAAGCATAGAGTTTTCACATGGTCTGTTTATGCTGAATTCAGAAACTTGGGGACATCATTTAACATCTGACAAAAACACAGAAGAGTGCTTAAAAACCACCCTTTTGTTCTTGGCCCTGAGTCAGAGAGAGACGGGCGCTTATGAAGGAAGGTCGAGTTTCGATCCTTAGACAACCTCCAAACAGCAGGAACTATGTTGTGTGGATCATGTGAAGTAGGCAAACTCAGTACTAATGATACATTAGAACAATTTCTCTCTAGGAATGGCTTTCCTTGATACAGGTGTCATAGGATTTCTAAAGCTGTCCACCACAGGTGGGCCTACACAGTATGAATGTGCAATAGCAAAATAAGTGAGTAGCCAGAGAGTAAAGGCAGTTTAAAAAAAAGAAGAAAAGCCAATGAGATTTTTAAGGAACAAAATGGAATAAATTCTTTCTCTCTCTCTCTCTCTCTCCATGTGTGGTGGAAAGTCCTGGTGAATGTGTTGTTTGGTCTCCCTCAGGTTTAAATGGCCTGTTTTTGTTCAGCATAAAGTAAGTATGTGGTAATAAGTGGAAATACCAAGGAGAAGTCAGAGTTCCACTTTCGGAGTTTTTTCTTCTGATGTTCGATTTTCTCTCTGAAAAACATCATAACACTGAAATTTAGATTTGGAGTTAATTCTTGCTTTAGGCTTAGAAAACTAGGCCATTTTGATTACTTTGGGAAGTGCTAAATCATTTTCAATTTTTATCTCATGAGCTCTTTTATACGGGATTTTGATTCATTTCCCATTGATACCTTAAGCAAAATGGCAAAATTCCAAATTCAGCTCCTTTGAATATGCAATACTTTTCCAAAAATACTTTGTTAGTTCTATTCCCATAACTAGTTCTATTCCCATAACTGTTCCCATGAGCATCCCGATTCTGACCAGCATACACCCTCATATTCATTTGCTGTTGATCAGATCCAGTAGAGCCCAGAAATCTTATTCAGAAGGAGAAAATGCAAACTGTTTTACCTGAACCCTCACACTTACCAACAATTTCCCTTCTAGAAATCCATCACAAAAGTTTTTCACATGCTCTACTGTAACTTCAGTTATAGGCAGTGTATCCCACTGATCGTCAAAAGTTCGGTAAATTGCCAAAGCTGGCAGCTGAGACTTCTTTAGTTTGAAAAATGATATCACCTTTTCATTTTCCTTCATACCACTGTCCACCAGAACAAAGAGAATCTGCAGTTGAAGAAGTTTGAAAGAAAAAGCTCTATCAGAGGTCCTGGGGATAAACAGATTCTTTGTAATTGTTGTCCTTTACACTGATTAAACTTATGGTGTCATGTAAGTTAAATCTCAGTTTAAATCAAAATAAATTTTGTGTTGCTTTAGTATTTTATTTCTTTGGTCAGATTTATTTAATTTTGAGCACATAGAATTGGAAGAGATTTTATTGATTCTAAGGGAGGAAGTGGGGCCTACAGGTTAAAAGCAAAGAACAAGTTTTAAATTTTACCTCTGGTATATTTAGTTGTGTGGCTTTTGGCTTATTATACAGCCTCTCTGGGACTCAGTTTTTTTTTTGTTGGCAGAATAGCTTTTGTTTGGGGACAGTGTAAAAAGTAAATGAGGTGATACATTTAATATTTTTAGTATAGCATTTGACAGATAGTAAGTGCTTAATAAATATTAACTATTTTGCAATCACATTCCAAACCCCTTGTGGGTGCCTGAAGCCTCGGATAGTACTGAAATCTAGATACTACATTTCTTCATATACATATATTCTTTTGATATAATAGCTAATTATAAACAATAAAAATAGCTAATTGGAACAATTCTAACAATATGCTATAGTGAAAGTTATTTCAAACTTATTATTTCTGAAAATGTCCAATATTTTCTGATCATGACTGACCATCGTGAAACTATGACAAAGGGGGCTACTGTATATTGTTAGGTCAAACCTTCTATCCAAACTAGAAATCTTTATAATGCAGTTGAGGATCATCTCCATTCAGTTGCAGGGAATGCTCCCAGTGTTAGGAGAGCTGCCTTCAGAAGGGCAACTTACTTTATTATCGGCTGGTTGTCATGGTTAGAAAGGTCTCTAGCTGAGCAGCCTTGAAGTAGTTAAGTTTTATTGTTTTGGAGATATCAAGCAGAACTTCATGAAGGAGGAAAAGGGAAGAAATAAGTATTTCTTGGCTATCTAGTAGGTCCCAGGGCTCGATAGGTGTATATGTGGATGAGAGTATGGTGGGGGGTGTTAACAAATGGTGACTAGTAGGTGATTTTATTTTCTGTATCTTTATGTCTCTATTTTATCCCCATCTATCAATGCAGAAAAAATATCCTTAACCACTGTGGGAAAACATGATTATATAAGCCTTTAATGTTACCAAACATAACAAGTTTGATTTCAAATGATGCTATTTTTTTTATGACTCACTCTTTCTTGATTTCTGAAACATACTGGCTTTCCTTATTTATCTCTCCTTCCTAGCCCCATCTTTCTTCTGATGTTATTTATTCAAATGTCATGTCCCATTCCCAACTTACCTTTCCCTGGAAGAGCCTAGCTGCCTTCCGGTATCTGTTCATATTCTCGGCGTACTCTGGAGATGCTTTGCTTATCACCAGGAGAAGATGAATCTCAATCATGGTGTTAAATAGGCCAAACCCAGTCTGGCAAGTGTGTTATAGTAGAAAGAGAGAAAGGGGGGGGCATTAGTGTCAATGCAGTGAATGGTAACACAAATGCAATTGGCCTCCAAGAGAGCTCTCAAAAATCTCCCCATCTGTTTTTTTTTTTTCCATGCATCAGTGTAGGTCCCTCTTTCCCACACTGCATAGGTTGGATGGAGAAACCAAGAGGATATTGTAGAAATGATGGAGTGTGACTTTGAGGTCATAAAAGTCATCATGAATTCTGCCTTGCTCTTCCCAATATCCCTCACTCTGGGGAAAGCCAGCCACCAGTGTGGTGCACTGAAACAGCCCTATGGACAGATTCACAGGGCAACAGTGGGGACCAACTTGCCAGCCACATGAGTGAGCCCTCTTGAAAGAAAATCTTCCAGCTCTACTCAAGCCTTCCAATGACTGCAGTCCTGACCATTGGCTGCAAACTCACCAGAGATGCTAGAGTAGAAGCACCTAGTCAAGTCACTCCCAGATGGTTGACCTACAGAATTGGCATGAGATAATCAACATTTACTGTCTCAAGCTAAAATTTTAGAGTAACCTGTTACATGAAATAGACAACAAATATGCCATGAAACATATCAGTCGCTTTTTTTTTCAACTCCTTTTCATGTTGCAAAAGGAACACTTAAAATATGATTCTTGACTACAAATTAGTTGAGCATACTTATTGAATATTTATTCTGTGCAAGGAACTATCTTCAGCTTTTATTCTTATAATAACTAATTGAATCCCTAAGATCCTGGTTTTTCAAGTGAGAAGACTGAGGCAGAGATAGATTAAATAGCTGTAAAAGTTACATAAATGATGGCTTGGGATTCACTTTAGGCAGTCAGGTGCTAGAGTCCAAACTGGCTGGATCAGAATCACCTGGAAGAACCCCATGCAAATCAATTTAATCCCAAGTGTGGTGGATCCAGTCCACCTCAGGTCAACATGAAGGTGAGCTCTGCAGGAAACCGGAAGCATTGATCTTATTTGCTGATCGGCCATTCGGCATGAAGTTGTCAACGACTTAGGGGACTGAGATAGCCACTAGCTGGATAAGAAGGGGAGAGGAAGGGTGAAACTGTGCTATTGACGCCATTCATTTCACTTTCCCAAAACTGTGTTGCAAATCTATTTTAAACAAACCCCATTGCTTTCTACCTCTCCTAAATACAGAAATCACTGCTATAAACATCAACATGTGCATGATAAGAGATTGGCCCCTCAGGGGGCCAACAGGCGGACAAGGAAGGCCTATGGAGTTTTTATCCTAAATACTTCTCCTTGGCATTTTAGAAAGAAAATGTGTTCTTCATTATTGCTGCTGACACAAGATTTTACATCTGGGAGAACAGATGATCAATAATTGACTCTTGTTTTAAATGTGTGTGTATCCAACTTCCTAAAGCAGAGATGGAGGATAATTTTTGGAAAGAGTCAAGAAAAAAAGTGGAGTCAATCCTGTCTTA